TAAGTTTAAAAAAAAAAAAGAAATGATAAAAGAACAGGAAATGTAAAAAAAATCTGATAGATTGTTTTTATATTTCCTGTTCTTTTATTAATTTTTCAGAAAATAGTTATGGTTCTCCAGGTTTCTTTATTTAAAGTGTTGTTTCATTGTAAAGGCATGTGTGTACATGTATATACATATCACCACATTATTGATTACGAAGCAACATAAAAATTATATATATAATATAAGTTTAATCAAAGTGGAAACAACTATACTCTAACTATGTTTGTCCTCTACTTTAATTTGCAATTCCAGCTTGAAATCCTCATTTGGTAAAAGGCAAGCAAGTTATTGTGAAAATATAGCACAGAGCCACAAAAATATTGCACAAACTGAAAATAAAAAGCTACCCATCCAGATTGCCGAACTTGACCTCACATCTTAAGTCAATCGACATAAATGAGATGACCTTATTCAAAAATTTGCAGTAGTGACATAATAATCTTGTACTTTCCTCCTTTTAGAATTACACTAAAAGTTAATCATATAGAGTGATTTTCCTGGGATAAATAGCACAGCAATTTAATTCATTTTAATTTTTTGGCTAAAACATGGAATAATTAATATTCTTAATGAAGTAACAAATTGCTTGGAATTGGAAGCATGGATTTGCTTCCCAGATAATGTAATCTACTTTCCATCTGTCAACAGCTTTAATGCAAGCCTTGAAAGGCTCCAAAATTGCAACAGCACTCAACTTTCCTCAATGGAAGTTGCATTAAATGCTTCATAAATTCTATCTATAATTTGACAATGTCTTTTTAGTATTGTGTCAACTGTTTTTACTTTTGTTGCAGGGTGGCCAGCCAAAAGCTAACTAAATTCAAGGATATTTCCAGGACTTTTAAAGGATAATTTGAGGTTTTTCAAAAAAACAAAAAAACAATCTATATTGTCTTCAAAATATGTTTTATATATAAATATAAATTTATGTTATAATATAGTCGCATCTAGTACTGTAAAGTTAAAAAATATTTCATATTGAATATAGGTACACTAGGTTATCAAACACTTCTAACTCTTTCTTAGATTATCCAAGGTTTTTTAGTGAAATATCAAGCTCTTTAATTGTCATTTCTTTTTCTAGAACTGTGTTTCTAAAGGAATTTGCTTTCGCAAGAATAGTGAAGTTTTCTCCTGCATTAATTCTTATTTTGTCAGCATCAGTTTTGAGAACTTTGATGCATTTTGCAAAAAATAAGTTGTGTTTTTTTATAATTAAAAATTCTGATAATTTGCTGATAGACAAATTATGAAGAGATATGAACTTAAGGAACCACAAAGACTCGAAAAAAATGCAGGCAAAACAACATACTGTCAGAATAAAACGCTCATGATACTAAGCATAAAAAATTTATTACTTATGGGCATGAAAATTTGCACTGGTTAAATAGGGGTTTGTTGAAACATTGTAATAGGGGTTTGTTGGAACGTTTTTGATTAGGCCCATTTATTAGGCTATTGATTGAAATAAACAAATAAAGCGTTTTTATGGAATGAAATGTAAATTTTCTACTCTAAAACTTTGTTTGCAACATGAAAATGCGTTTGGAAGGGGTAAAGCATAAAGCATATGGGTTTAGAAGGGGTAAAGCTTTTTTTTCAGACATTTTGGTTTTCCTTGAAAACTGAAATGTCCTAGAAGAATTAACATCATGGCATCTAAAGTGGACTAGTGAAAATTGGTCAAAAATTATTTTTAGGGATGAAAACTTAGTTCGATTCAGATGGAATCAAATTTTTTTGACAATAGTAAATACAAAATTTAATCCCTAATTGCAACTGCCTACCATAAAACATGGATGAGGTAATGTAAAAGTTTTGTGAAGCTCCAGTTAGGATGGTGTTGATCTGCTCCATTGATATACTGGAACTATTGATCAAGAGATATACAAATATATATTTAAGAGCATTGTGTTACCTATGCAAAGGACAATATGCCTTATGGATGGATATAACATGAGCAAAACAACTTCAAACACATAGACAATTTGTTTCAAAATATTTTGTTGACTTTACGCCTCTTAGATGCAAAGCGGTTCTTGATTGTAGAGATATTTCTACAAAATAGTAATGAGATTTTGCATTTTTAACATGCTATGATCAAATATGGTTAAGTGAAACCTACTTTTTAAATATAAACGCTTTGTCCACAAATTTTTTAAACTCATCAAATATAGTTATAATTTTAATTTATTAAAAAATGCTGATTAAACTTGATATCCATTCAAAACATAATAGTAAACATGAAAACTTATTAACTAGTATATAATATGTGTGCTTTAGTAATTTATGTGCTGAAATATTAGTAAAATTAAATTTTTTTTTACCCTGTCTTCAAATTTTTGGACGGTATAAATATTACTTTATAAAAGACATTTTGCTTTTTTGTTTCAAAAATAGTTCAACAAAAATTGTTATATGTTTATAAATGTTGCTATAATGAAATCTAAACATTATTACTTCAATTGGTTGAGTTATCATACTTTTTACAAGTTACAAATTTTAATTTCCTTAGTATGCCCATCAGCATCATCAACCTAAGATGATATCTGTTATTTTTTTTTTTTCAATTGAATTACAATTTTGCAACTATCTTACGCCTAGATATTTAATGATACAATTACTAATTTATTATAAGGAATTATTTTTAAAATACTTATTAATATTAGTCACTAGATAATTTACTAAGTTTTTAACTACTAACAACAGTCTTGAAAGTAATGATTTTACTTTCTTATTTTTATAAATACATTCAAACATTATCTAATTATATTCTTTTTTTCTTTATTTAGTTGCATTTATCATTGCTTTAATTGTTAAAACATGATTTTAATTTCTTAAATTTAAATGATTAAAAATTTACTGTATTAATCATTAGTTTACAGATAGAAAGAATTATACATAACTGAGATATAATTTTTTTTACTGGTATCAAAACCAGTTTTGTGTTTTTGTTATTATGTTTGTTTTATAATTGTGCTACTATATTGTTGTTATTGTTGTTGTTGTTGTTGTTGTTGTTGTTGTTGTTGTTGTTGTTGTTATTGTTGTTGTTGTTGTTGTTGTTGTTGTTGTTGTTGTTGTTGTTGTTGTTATTGTTGTTGTTGTTGTTGTTGTTGTTGTTGTTGTTGTTGTTGTTGTTGTTGTTGTTGTTGTTATTGTTGTTGTTGTTGTTGTTGTTGTTGTCAAAATATGACTAACTGCAAGTGATTAAAAGAAAAAAAACATATTGTGAAAATTTATTTCAAAAAGAATTATTTAAAACAGACTCACCTAAAACTACATTTTCCACATTTTTATTACCAGATTTATCTTGTTTCAATACGCTCGCCAAACCAACTAAGCACAAACCAGTCTAAATTAATTATTAAAATGTTAAAATAGAAAAATTTGTTCATTAAAAACAATTGCAGTATTTTAATGAACAATTTTCATTTCAAATTTTATAATTAATCAAATTTTCATGCCAAAAAAAAATTGCATCTCTCTCTATATAAAATGAATTAAATTTCTAGTTTAGGGGAGACCGGGGTTAGTCAGAACACAGTTTTAGTTAAAATATTGAACTTTTGCGCCAACTAACAAGCAGTTTATTATTACAAACAAGAAACAAAGGTTTCAAGAACTAAAATACATACTATTTTGTTGTTGGATAAAATAAATTGCAAAAATTAAGTTGTTGCTCAAGATTTTAGAGAATTTTACATATGAAAGTAACTTTTTGTGATTTTTGTATTATTAATTGTAATCTTGTATTATAAAAGATAATAAAATAGTTTGATAATATTTAAGTAGTATTTTTTGTTGGCTCTCTTTTAATGTACTTTTTATAGGGTTTTGAGCATGGGATATTTATTAAATCGTATTAGAATGCACTGGTTAAATAGGGGTTTGTTGGAACATTGTAATAGGGGTTTGTTGGAACGTTTTTGATTTATAGCATTAATTGTATTCCTTCTATTATCGCTCATAGATTATTTTTGTTATTTTATAATTATCCATAATGGAATACTTAATTAGAGTTTAAATCAAGGATCTTATTATTTAGCATGTGTTTTCATTTATTTAAATCTTGCTATTGCATGTCGTTGACAGTGGCTTGTTCTTTATTATTTTGAACACAAACCATTGGTTGCAGCTTTTTAATATCAATTTAATTCTTGATATTAAAGAGTTGAAAACGATGGTTTTCAACTCTTTACAAATATATGTTTAAAATGTTGTGCATTCAAAACTTGAACATTTTAAAAGTTTTTTTGATTAGTTTTCCAAAGAAATTTGATCTTTATTATCTTTTCAATATATGATTCTAATTTTTCTTGAAAACTATTTGCGGTCACTATCAGAAATTTTGTAAAACTGCAGTAGTGAAAGAGTTATTGGCGTTAATAAATTATTTTTAGAATGCGATATTATAAACAAAAAGACACCAGCAAAAAGTATGACATCAAGCGATACGATCCTTGATGCTGTCAAAAAAGTAGTTGAAAATGGAGAGAAATGCAGAGGAGTTGCAGTAGACTATGGTAGATTTATTGCAGTATACATTCCTAATAAGACACTCAGAAGATACTGCATCAAAGTCAAAGCAATGCCAAGCACCCAAACCAGTTTAACTGTGAAGTACCACAACAACAGAAATGCTTTTTTTATGGAAGAAGAGAATGCGCTTATGAGGTACAAAAGACGCATTGGAACTGCAATAAAAACAACTTACACATTACTCTAGAAGTTTTTCAAAACTTCTTAATGTGATTGTGAAGATTGATTCATGGTTGTTTGATTTATGATTCCTGCTTTAGCAACTATCAGTTAAGAACTTCCTGTCTTGGCTACTGGTAATAATAATAACAATACTTGTGACTTTTTATATAAATTTGGATTGTGATATTTTGCCTTTATTCAAATGTAGAATCTGATAATACTGAGCATATCGGACCATTAAATCCAGATATATATATATATATATATATATATATATATATATATATATATATATATATATATATATATATATATGCCACCACAAGTTTATAACTAAAAAAAAATGTTTTAACTTACCCCAGTCTCCCCTATACATAAGGCATTTGATCAATTTAGGCAGTCAAAACTATTTTTTGTACTATTTTTTACTAAATTTTGAGAAGCACTTGTTATTACTATATGAAACAGTGTAAATTAACTACGGAAAATGTTAATATGAAAACAAATGTTTCTGATCCAATGATGACTAAAAAACAATACAGATTGAGTATAAATACTTTATTTAAAAATCTTTTTTTAATTGTTTACATTAAGTTAATCAACTTTTAAGTGAACATAAATAAACATATTACATTTTAAATTATTTATTCTATTTATAAAAATTGGTAAAATGTTACATAACTTACAATATTTTATGGTTAATATAAATAAGTTATTAAATAATGTTTACTATCTGGTTCTTTTTAACCGTAAAACGAAATATGTAAGTTACCCTAAGTAATTTGTGAATAGCATAAAATAACATAAAAATAATCTCTTCCTCTAATCATTCTCCCCCTCTTTGATAGAATCCTGCCAATCGAACATTTTTATATATCAAACTCAAGAAAACACGGTCTAAATATTGGTATATGTTGAAGTTACTGCACATTTTGCCTCCTTAACCATTATTTCAAATACACCACCCAGATGAAAGGCATTGAAGTGCTATTAAATTCCTTTATTAGCTGTAGAGCTGGTTATTGTATTTTTATTTAAGTTGTTGATTTCTTTTAGTTCATAAGATCTGCCAATAGAGCTAGTTCTATTGTCCGTCATAACTTCTAATGGCAATACTCATCTATTCATCAATAAAAAGAATTAAGAAATGAATTAGTATCTAAATAGTATGCTATCTCAAGGTGATATCTGCTCATGATAACAAACAAGTAAACAAGCATAAGTATATTTTTTGTCAGGTTTTCCCTCAACCTTGCATTGTAAGAAATGGTCCAGCAAAATCATAACCAACTCTAGAAAATGCAAGTAGCAGATACTTCAAATGAATAGCTGGCAAAGAGCCATCAATTATTGAGCAGGTAGACATTTTATTTTTTTGCATTTGTTGCATTTTGATTCTACATTACAGATTTCTTCTCATCCTCATATAACCCAATATTATTTTGATAATTTTGTTAGTAGATGATTTGTTTCCATTGTACGATTTATCATGGTAATTTTTAACAATCAGATTTGTAACTGTTAGACCTTTCGGCAAATTAATTGAATAATTATTATTGTAAGACAAGTAATAAAAATTTTGCAACCGATTCCATAAGCATAACAAGTCGTCTTCATCAATTTGTAGACATTTTAGCTTGATGTTGAACATTTCTTAATCCAATTTATTTTCTATTTTTTGCCTTTTATGCAAATGATTAATGTCCAAGTCCTTTAATTGTTTATAATGCGTCACATAAACATTGATTCAAGTAATTTCTATTCAGGGGTTGCTGGAGTTTGTTTGATAAATTCATTCAGCAAAGCTGATTTTGTAATACTTTTTATTGCCACTATACATTAATATAAAGACATGTTGTAGGTGTCTCTGCAAATCATGTTTAATTTTTGCAGTCTTTTCGTCAAAATTAGATGTTTCATTTTTTCAATTTACTTATTTTTTTTGTGACCTTCGTTAAATTTATTTTATCATTATCATTATCTTTGTTATTAATTATTTTTTTGAGTTAATAAAATTTTGGTTCTTTTGTCACCAGTTTAGCTATTTGGTTCATCTTTTTGTTCCATTATACAATATCCATCCCTTTAAATGTTTCAATGCTTAGTCTTCATTCATTTTTTTAAATTTTTTCATTGAGTTTTTTTACATTTGTTTTTAATTCCAGAAACTCATATTTACTTGACTTTATTTATTAAATAAATTTATTTAACTTGAAGTTTGAAAAAGAAAATATACTTATTTAACTTGAAGTTAGAAAAAGAAAAGAAATTTATTTAATAACTTCGCTTTGTGTTTTTGTTAATTGATTTCTTTCTGTTTAATGCTGACACTTCATTTAGAACTGGTAAACAACCTTTTTTCTATTTGCTGATTTGATTTTGATTTTTTTTTTTCATTTCTTCAGTGGCAAAAAAAAGTACTTTCTGCTACTAAATTTTTATCAGAAGGTGTTTGTTTTCCAGCCTGCTGGAAAGCAACATCAGTCCCATTATTCTTCTTCCTATCATAAGCAAGGTTTTTGAATCTTTCATAACAAACACTTCATATCTCATCAATGCCGATTGCGTATTGATACTTTATTTAAAGGTTTTTATTAACGATTTATATGAAGTTATTTGACTTACTTTTAAGTCAACATAAACAAACATATTATTTAAAAAATATTTATTTTGTTTAAACAAAATAGTAAATGGTTAAATATTTATTTAACCGCTTACCATTTAGTATAAAGAGAGTAAATATTTTATAAATATATATTAAATTACTTTATTTAAGGATGTCATCATGGATTATGATGAATTATTTAAATAACTTAAAATATAAGATGGGTAAAATAAAATATTTATAATTATTGCCTACTATCTAGTTCCTTTAAATTATGGAACAGAATATGGATGTTACCACAAGTATTTGTGTATATCGTAAAATAACTTAAGAATAATTTCTTCTTATTAGCTTTTTCAGAGTAATTTTTATTTTAAATAAAAATAACTTCTGCAAAAAAGCACTATGCAAGTAGACGGAGTTCATCAGAAGACATTCCTGTTTGCTCTAAACTCATCAGATTTTTTATTAGGTAAACCAGCCATATCAGGTTTCTTACAAGAATGATTTAGTTTTATTTATTGGTAGTTTTCTCATGCCACTTAAAACTGGGCTTGAACTAAGTAGTAATCTATTTAGTGCATCAAGGTTACAAGACTCTCTGGAGATCTTTGCATTATTTTGCCGGTAAAGATTAAAAAATTTATTTTGTGCTTCAGGTGCTTTTTCAGATAGCTAACCAATATGCAGATAAGCTTGCTCTATAACAATACAGCCATGAATAAGGATTTTATGCATTGTGGGGGTCATTGAATATCATTTGTAAAACTGGACAAAGCTTTGCATAACATACTGATTCTAGCATGCAAAATTAATAACCCAAAATAGCACCTCATAGTTAAAGTTGTTTGAGTGGCTACATTGCATTAACTATAGTGAGCATCATCATATGTTTAACTAAAAAGAAATTTTACTTTTGTATGATGAAAAAAGATTACTAAATTTTCAATAAAGTTTATTTTTTTATTTATTTTAGGGATTACAACTCCGCAAAGTGGGATTCCTCAATCCGACTGGATCCCGCAATACTTCAGTGCATGTGAGATCCTGTGTTAATTAACACAATATTGGTATAATTGAAGGTTTTATATTATACACTTTATTTACACTAAAAACAATACAACAACAACAAGCTATTTATTTTCAATTTTAAAATCATTTTTACAATGATAAGGTAAATTATAATATCAATAATAATTATAAAATAATAAGCAATAGTAATAATTTATAACAATAATAATAATAATAACAAAAAATAATTATAAATAATAATAAAGACTATAATAATAATAAGTAAAATGATATGTTATTTCTTATTATAATAACTTAATGATTAGTATGGATGGTGTCACTCATACAGAAGTCTGATCAAAGGAGTAACAGAAATAAAATTTAAAATTTAATAGGATAACAAAAAAACAACAACAACTAACGATCAACTTTGCATATTCTATAGTTTATTGTTAAAGCCTAATGTAGTTAATGCTATATATATTCATTGACAATTTACCATTGTTTAAACAACCAATTTCTTTAGTTTAGCAGTATTTAAAAACTGATTTTGCCACCTATATTGATCAAAAACCTCACTATGATATAGTCTAAAACTTTGCTGTAAAACAAATTTACCTTTAACTTTTACAATTGAAAAGAAACATTCATATAGTTTATTTCATTTCGAAATATCAAAATAACTTTCAACATACCACTGTCACCACCATTCCAAACCAATGCGATGGTTTTAATTTGTGTTTTAGAAATATTTTCTATGACAGATTCAATAATTAAAAAACATTACATGATTAATAAAGATAAAAAATATGCATATATATATATATATATATATATATATACATATATATATATATATACACATGTACACTACTGTATATAAATTATATAGAATAAAAAATATATTTAACTATAATAGTGAAAGAATCATAGAAAAGAAACAAAAATATAAAAAAAAATTGATTTAACATTAACAAGTATTTGCAGTAATATGGTATTGAATTCCTATAGTTAAAGAGGAAACACAATGATATGCTTTTGTTTTTGAACGTGCTTTGACAAACAAGGCTTGAAAAAAGCTAATTATTACATAGATATTTATTATTTAAAACTTGATGTTGAATAAATAAGTTTGTTTGTAATAGTTAATTTCTGATAGAAAATTAAACAACCTAAATTAGCATAAAAAAGATGAAGAGTATATATATACATATATATATATATATATATATATATATATATATATATATATATATATACATATATATATATATATGTATATATATATATATATATATATATATATATATATATATATATATATATAAATATATATATATATATATAAATATATATATATATATATATATATATATATATATATATATATATATATATATATATATATATATATATATATATATATATATATATATATATATATATATATATAATATATATATATATATATATATATATATATATATATATATATATATATATATATATATATATATATATATATATATATATATATATAAAGATAAATGTATATTTTAAATTTCATAACAAAAAAAAAAAAAAAACATTTGACTATCTAATTATGTTATCAAGTTAATCTCTTTATCTTTTTCTGTATCACACCAAGATCATCATTAAATTCACTTTTTGAAATTGTACTGGATTTTTGTTTTGGTGATCTAAATACAAATCGAACTTTGTCTACTGTGAGCAATCTGTTCTGTTTTTCAGTTTCATCGGAATATCTATGTATATACTGTCCCATCATACCTATAGACCGCTCTGAATGGTCATTTACAATGACCAAAGTTTCAACATATTTTTGAAAACTTTTGAAGCTTGACTGAGTATGCGAATAGTTTCTTGGAAGTAGGAACCAGTCTTTAACTCATTGCTTATCAAGCCCAATCATGACAAAAATCAAGTAAGAAAAGTCATTAACTAAAACAGACAAAGATGGTGGTTTTTTACCAATATTTGTATCTATTTTATAAATTTCCTTGATATCAACTTTTACTTTGTTGCCAGGCTTATAGTAGTCGAAGCTAGATATATCAAATGACAGAACTGCTGATGCAAAAACTGCTGATTGCCTTCGCGTCTAATGCTAACTCATCATCTAGCAAAGCTAGAGGTATTATAGTTAAATCCTAATACCTAATGCTTATACTGAGGCTCTAATACAGCATCAACAGCTATTGGATTTGTACATACAATCTTGTACAGATGCATTTGATGTATGGCCAGAAGATCAAGAAACAGAGCTTTGACGACATCTTCAGATTATAGATTTTGTATGATTGTAGATTGCACGATTTTGCATAAAAGCAAACTATAAATTTTGATATAAATCTTATTTCAGTTTTCAGCTTGTCATTATCTTGAACAAATGCAAGTTGATTGAATAGAAGTTGAAGCTTTAGATAATAAATTGCTTTTCCTAAAAATCTTGCATGATGAATAGCACCAGTTTTTCTTACTTTATATGTAAAAGGGGATAAATAAGTGAAAACTATTTCTGCAAGCTCACCTCTATCATCTCTTATAATACCTGGTTTACCAACATAAGTTCTGCAAAATGTCAATGACCTATTAGCTGCTTTTTTTAAAAGAGAGCTTTAAACCTTATTCCAATCAAATCGTAACAGTTGAACAGTTGAATTATAATTAAAATGAGGTTCTTCAAAAATACCTTTTAATTTTTTGAAAAGAGGATTATCAGGTCCATTAGTTTTGTCATTGGTCACTAATTTCCAAAAATGAAGCATTCTTAATTCAAACAAGTGATGTCTACAGGCTATTTGGAAGAAATACTAATCTAGTTCTTTAGATAATCTGGAAACTGATACTTTTTTTGTCCCAGAATTGGATGACATTATATCAAAGCATATTCCACTAAGTTTTGACATAAGTTGATAATCCTTAATTAAATTTGTTACACCTAAGAACTGATCTTCACCAGTGGATGATGCTAGCAGAGGTACTCCAAGTAGCTGCTTTTAACTTCTTTAAGATCAACACCTGATTGGTATAGAATTGCATTTGTTACCTTCTGTAAAATATTTGGCAATATATAACAGGCTGTAACAGTAAGTGAAACATTACCAGGATAAAGATCTTTTGGAATTTTTGCAGTTACTGTATCTAAGTTTTCAGAGAGCTTTATGTGATACCAATCACTTGGATCAAAATCAAATTCGATTGAAGAGTTCCCACTTAGAATTGTGTCGATAAGTTCACTGTTGGGTATATCATCTATCAAATTCTTAGGCTGTGAACAATTTTTCTTCCTGATACTTTCGTTGGCCTAATTTCTAGTTAAATAATTATACTTTTAGTTTTTAATTTTAGAACTAGTAAAAAAAAGAATAAATTAACAGACGTTAAACCAGAGATAAATTATTTAATTAAAAGTATTGACCTTTTTATATACTTAATATTCTCTAAACCAATAGCAAACTTTCTTTCCCTTTCTTGATCTTCCAGAAATTTTAAATCTTCATTTTTGTCTTGTAGTGATCTTTTTTTATGTGGCAATGGTTGAAGGTTGGCTGCAAGAGCAGGTCCAACTATGTTTACAATGCATTTTTGCATCTTGCCTAAAAGGAAAGAGCGTCATTTAAAGATCTGCTCCAGATATGGAAACAGTATTTCATAGAAAGACAATTTTTAAATTTAAAAAGATAAAGAATAGAATCACAAGTAAGACAGTAGCGAGCACAATAACCTTAATAGATGTAACCTTAACAGATGTTAAATTTGCAATCGATTTGATATATGGTTTCAAAGAAAAGTTGGAAGTAAAAGTTAATTGTAAAAAATAAGTATCATCAGCCAACAATGCTACCTTTTTTGAACCAGAAAGATCCACATTTAGAAAGAAAAAGAGTAACATCTAGAATACACTAAAATTATTCTTTCCAGTTTTCAGTTTCAGCCTTGGGTTCAGGCAAATGTAAGTTATCAACTAAAGTTTCACATAATCTATATAGATGTGTATATTTGTATAGTAAATTTATTATTAGTTGTAAATAAATCTCTAACCAATAAGTCTTTTAAAAATTTATTACTATAAACATTAAGGAAATTTTACATGTCAAACCTTACAGTAAACAGTTTACTTTAACTAATTAAAAGCTTAGTTAATGTACACAAAAACTGAATTCAAAAGTGTATTGTATTTATGCGAATTTTAATTTGATCTAATTGCAAATTAAGCAACGCAATTAGATCAAAATATTAAACTCATTCAAAGTTTAATTACTAAAAACTCTTTTGTGAAAAAATTCTTTCACACAATAAAAAGAAGCTATTGAAACTATTTTTTTTTTTCCTTTCTTTTTTTTTTGTATTTTTCAATTATTTCACTTTAGGTTACAAGTTTTATATGGGTCATTATCATTACCATTTTTAAAATCAAATTGTTAGTGAGGAAGTTGAACAAAAACTTATAAAGAAAATAAAGTGATTGCTGATAATTTTAACTTTAAAACATAAAATTTGACAAGTAGGAATGCTTCACAGAGAAACTAAATGGTGGGGTACAGTTTTGAGAGGCTTAGCTTATTTCAAAGACCAACATTCTAATCAATGTACCATTACCACTGGGTATATCTCTTAATGAAAACTTTATTCAGGGATGCAGTCTTCCACTATATAAATTTTAGGAAATACAAGCAAAATAATTTTTTTTATTTTAAGACCAAGTATACTGTTAAAAGAAGAACTTGTAAATTGCATACAGAAAATAAAGAATAATTAAATGAAGAAAAATAAAAACCAAAAAAAAAGGATCAAATTTCAAAGCGATAAGATTTGAGGAAAAAAATATAAAAAGGAATGTTTTTAGTAATATTGTAAAAGAACTAAAATAAAAATGTAAAAAACTAAAATAAAAATGAACTGAGATTAGCATAAGATTAAGTTAATAAACTAAATAAGAGTTTTCATATAAGAATAAATTAAAGATAAGAATTTGGTAGAGAATAGAATCAGAATTAGAAAAACTGTTCCACTATATATCAAAGAAATTTGATATATTGTGGAATTGTAATATTTGCTTTGTAAGTGAGAAGCATCAAGTTCCTGGAATTACCGTGCTCAACTTGTTACTCAGCACAACAACTTTGTTAAAGGTTTGTGTTTTGGAACTAAAACTTGGTTAAAAAAGGGTTTTAATCACAATTTTAAAAGATGTAACTGTATATGTAACTATATGTTTGATAGTCCCATAATTGAGACTAATGTTACTGACTTGGTAACTAACTTTAAAAACATGGCACAAATCAAATAAAACTATAAGTAAAGCAGACGCTCTTCAAAAAAAACTTTTTTATATAAACTCTATTTATATAAAAAACTACTATATTTTAGTAAAAATCTGTTAATTACAGTTAAAATATAAAAATATATTTATCATTATATAATATATATATATATATATATATATATATATATATATATATATATATATATATATATATATATATATATATATATATATATCATTGTCATTAATCATGCCATTGATAAAGAGCTTGAAACTATTGACTATTCCTTTATAAGTTAGGAATCGTCAAGTACTCATACTGGTGGTTGTATATAATAATAATAATAATAATAATAATAATAATAATAATAATAATAATAATAATAATAATAATAACAATAATAATAATAATATATTTGCTGTAACAACAATATATATATTGTTGCAGAGCATACTGAGATGCTATAACAGCCTTCAGTGTTATAAATTGCCATAGTTAGCTTTGAAAAAATTTAAAGGATCTTGAACAAATATAGTTAGGCAAAAAATTCAAGTTTTAATTTATTCTGTTGTTAAAGAAGTTATTTCTTAAGGAACTTTTGAACTGATATAAAACTAGAGATACTTTTGAAATGATATAAAACTAAAGTTTGATCCAAAATTTAATCTCAAAGAATAGTTTTATTGGTAATTATTTACTTAGCTAGTTATTATTAAAAATATTTTTTGTTTTAGTGTTTGGTACTGATTAACATTAGAGATCAAAATCACCTCATTGAAACTTTATTGATTGGATAAATACGCTTTATTCAAAAAATGTTAACATTCTTAGAGATTTCAAATTTTCATTGGAACATGAGATTTTTGTAATGAACTCAAGCCCAATTGAACTCTCTTTCATGGTGGCTCTTGTGGAATTTTTTCAACAACTCTATGAAAATAATACAATTAAAATGGCATTGACAATAAATCCTGCAATGTATCATAAAAGTTATCTAAAATAATTTTTACGATATGTTAAAAATACTCATGCAAGACTTCCTAACATAGTAAAACAAGCAAAACAATTCTAAGACATTTTAAATAAAAAACAACCTGCTGTACAATACACAATATAAGTAGAAAACAAGACAAAAAAGCTAAACTATATTCATGTAACTATATGGCAATAGGAAAATATGTATATACATTTCAAAATCGCGCTAAAAAAATTATCTTAACATAACTAAAGAGACTTATCGTTAAAGAAGCAATTATATATTCGAAAAAAAAAAAAAAACTTAACATAACTAACTTAAAACTTAAAAATAAAACAAACTTGACATAACTAAAAATAACTTAACTAAAACTATAAAAGCAAAAATAAATTCAAAACTCAACTGAAAAAAATAACAAATTATAACAAGAAGAATATCTAAATTATGTTTGGAATAAATATCTCTGAATCATTTATTTTTACTAATGTTTTTATAATATATTATGCTAAACCCTTTTTTAATAAAGTAACAACTTACAACTGACAATTGTTTAATAAACGCGCACATTTAAAAGTTTAAAAAGAGATTCTTAACAATTCTTCGCACAAAAGTAAAAGTAATTAAATAGTAATTATTAATAATTACAACATTCTTTAAAAAACAGTTTTTAGTGTACTCAAAAATTTTCTACCACAATTTTTATAATTTTGATGAGTCTCGCACACGCAAAGTATTTTGCACAGCATATACTACTTTGAGAATAATCCTTCAAAAATAGTGCATTTATTTTACCTTTAACAAAGTTATTAATATCACACTTTTTACCCATAATATCACTCTTATGGCAAAAGACATTTCATTCAACAATGTTGTTATTTGCCCACCGGAGTATTTAGAAAATCAAACAGAAAAACCAAAGTATACAAACATATGAGTACTCATTAAGAGCACAGTTTTCACATTACATTTTATCTTATGTAAAATTAATCTATACTGTTTATTGTGTGAAAATCTATGTAATAAAATTATAGAGATCACTGTCATATTTATGTTTTGTTGATGACAATAATGGCTCAGGTTACAATTTATAATCTCAATTTTTAACTTATTGTATTTCCTATGTCATAGTTTTTTTATATAGATTTTGTAAAAATAGTCCTATTGAAACTAGAAAAAAAAACTAAAAAGAGATCTAGACAGCCAAAAAATTGGAAAATGAATGAGTGTAGCAAGCTAGGCCAATCTGGAGAGTCTAATGTTAGCAATACTCTTAAAGTTAACATAATATAGTTTTATATTATGTTAACTATAAGAGTTAACTATAAGTTCTACATATATTCTAATATACTTCCACCAAAAATAATTTTTGAACCCTGTAAAGAAAACTGCAAGTATAAATGCAACACGAAACTTAGCTTTTTCCTTGTAGCAAATGAAGAAATCAGAGTTTGCAAAGCATTTTTTATACTAACACTATGTATTAGTCAAAAAGTTATTTACAAAGTGCATGAAAAAAAGGATCCTTTGACTGGTACGCCAAAAGAAGACATGTAAGGAAAGCATACTAAAAGAGAAGTTTCAGATGAAATCAAAAATAAAGTAATTCAATTTTTATATTTATTCCCAACAGATGATAGTCACTATTGTAAAACTTCAAGCACAAAAACGTAAAAAAGATGCATCAGCTATATATAGAAAATAGTAGTGAGCAAGAAATAAAACAAGTTAAAGAGTCCAACATTAGATTCATACTTAACTCTCACTTTAATTTAAGTTTCCATATACCAAAATAAGACAGATGTGATACTTGTAAGCCTATAAAGTAGCGAAAAAAAAATCAACTTGAAGAAGATATATCAAAAAATAGCGTGAAAATGATCATGCGTGAAAATGATCACTAGTTTTGATCTGCAAAATTTTATGTCGGAAAGCTGAAATTAGTAGCTTTTTTTACAAAAGAAAACTAGTGTTTTTAATCTGACAGCACATGTTAAGTTTAATAAAATAATTAAGAAGTATTGCGTTGTGTGGCCAGCAGTACCTTCAGGATGAACAGATAAAGAAAGTGGACTAGTGTAAAATTTTTGATGATGTTGCAGATATATTTCTTAAAGCTAAATACTACATTACTTGGAGTGCTAGCTGTGTTTCTCAAAACCGCAACTCAATTATGACAACTGCTATGATTTATTTTCTGACTCAACACCATTCAGTTGAAGATACTTCAATTTAGTTGTTAATTGAATTATTACTATTTTGTATTATATTCAGAAAATAATATATAATCATAATGGGGAAGTAAAAAAGGCAGCCAAAAATACCAATTTTATAATAAATGCTAATCTTACCCATGTAGCAAAAATTATTCTACACTCATTGATAAAATTCTGATGGTTTTTTAAATAAATAAACACTTACCGAAAATATTCCAGTGAAAACTATGATAGATCCACGAAGCATTTGAGCAACAGATGCATCCAGATAAATCAATGCAATAACTAAATTAAAATATATTCAAAATTATTTATTATTATTTATTAACTATTGGTAGTCTAGATACAACCAACAGTTTGCAGCAAAATGTTGGAAAATAAATTTACAACAAAACTCATCTTTGATAAAATCAATGATAAGCTAAGCCATTTCTAAAATCTTTAAATGAACAATAATAATGATAATATTAAATTGTTATAATATTTATTATATATATGTTATTATAATTATATATATATATATATATATATATATATATATATATATATATATATATATATATATATATATATATATATATATCAGCCCTCAAAATTAGAAAAAAAAAGGTCGGCAAAAAGTTGGAAACCTAAAACTCTTTTTGATTGGTATCAGGTTGGCACAAAATTTAGCAACATGGTTTGACAATAGAACCAAGTGAACCAAGTGAGTAGTATACTAGTATACAAGTGAGTAGTATACTAAAAAAAAACATTTAGTTTGCCGACATAGTTCCTCCACTCGCCAGCAGTTGGTTAAAAAATTTAAAAAACGAAGATTTTAGGAATTTATTTTATTTACTTTATTTAGAATTGATGAAACTTTCTTTTTTTCTGTTTTATTTTAATTAAAACACTCGCTTTTGCGTTTTGTATTTTAATATTTTATTAAAGATTTGAATAAAACATAAGTATTTAAATTTCTTTTTGTTTGTTTTTACTTGTTCATTTAGAATTTATTAAAAATATTTGTTTTATAGTTTTTATATTATTAATTTAATTTAGAATTAATTTAAATTTTCTTTTAATTATTTTATTTAAAATGTAATTAATTTCTAAATTGAAAAATTAAACTTAAAACAAATTCATTTAAAAAGCATTAAAACAAACATTTAATTTAATTTAATAAAACATTCGTTTTAACGTTTTTTAAATTAATTTGGTTAGAATTAATAAAAAAAAGTTTGTTTTACCATTTCCATTTTCATTTTTACTATTTTATTTATACTCTAATTTGAACTTAATTCTCGTTTCTCCACGCAGCAGCCTTGTTCGTCAAGGTTTGTGTTTCGGAGTTATAGAGTTGAGAGAGGGTTATATAACCACAAATAAGTAGCCTCCTCATCTGTAGTGGCCTTCTCGGCCTTGAGGAGGTGAGTTAACAGGCAAGAAGCAGGCAAAAAATTGCTGACTTAAGATACTGTTAGGTCAGCAGTTAGATGGCTGTTAGGTCAGCATTGCCAAATGCCAACCTTAATTCTGACGGTTGATATATTATATTAGACCTTGTTAAGTAGGGTAACCCTATTTAAATTTTACAAATGTATTCACGATTTTACATACGTGTTTTGAAATTTTCAATGTGCGAAAAGTTTTTTCAATTAGTTTATTTTAAACAGTCTTTTAGAACAGTTTATGCAGAATACATTAAGTTGTATTTAATTGTTGTAAAAAACATATATGGAATATTTGTTTTTATTAGATAAAAAAAGATTGTTAATTCTTTTCTCTACTTTCCGTTTTTAAAAGTTTTTAATTTATATTTATTTTTATTAAATTTAAACTAAATTTATTATTAAATATTAATAAATTTAATTCAGAAACTGTTGAAGTGATGGGAACTATGTATGTTGTAAAAATATTTTGTAATGTATGTGCGCTTCATAAAGTTAATGTCTAGCCAATACTAAAGGGACCGTAAGAATAGCCATTTTATGCTATACAAATGGAACGAGTTTTATTTTAAAAAATGGTTTTATTTTATTATGAAGTTTTATTTTAAAAAACCCTAACCCCAACCCTGATAAAGACCGAAATGAAAACACAGAAGCAAAAGCAGACAACAAGGAGCAACAGGTTAATAATAATTTTATGTTTTAAAATACTAACTCCAAAAAACAAAATTGTTAAAAATTGGAGTTTATTTTTTGTAAGTTATAAAAAGCATATTCAAAATCAAAAACAACCATTTATTTATTACGGAAATAAAGTGTATATAATTTAAGTTCAAAAAGCAGTAACTTCAACAAATTTACCTTCAATCGAAGTCCTCTTTTATTTCATTTATTTTCAGAAATTAGTTTTTTCATTACGTGTAACACATAATAAAATGCTTAGTAAAGCAAATTCACTTGTAAACGCAAATTCTATAATTTTGTAACAGAAAGTTGTCACCTATTTTGAAACACTGTTAATACCACTTTTGTAATCGTGTGTAAAATTAGGTTAATTTTTATTTGTTTGTTGCGCAACAAAAACGTTTTGAGATTAAAAAAAAATCTGAATTTATAAAGTGAAACCTTATTTAATAAAGCAACATTTTTGAGGTTTATAAAACACAGCTGTTTCAAGTGAACTTCTTGTGTTTTTTTGTAAATAATCACTGTAAACGGTGTTATTAAAACTTTTGTAACTTTTGAAATATTAAAGACTATTTTTTTTTTGTAAAAATGATATAAAAAACAATAAAATAATTTACCTAATGGCATTAAATGAATTAATGAATCTTTCTTCAATTTCAGATTAAACCTGGCAAATGATGAACTTCGCCAAGTTTTTGTAATTAGTTGTCACTTTTTATCAGCATGAAAAATTTGAAAAAGTATATTTCAGATATTTTATATAAGCATATTTCAGATTTTACTATTAAGTTTATTTTAGATATTTATTATTAAATATAGATGCAAGGAGAGGCAAGGGAGCATAGGGGGTGTCCTCTATGAATTAGCCAGCAAATTGGAAACTAGAGTCGGCAAAATTGAATCTATAGTTGGCAGTCGGCAAGTGTCAGCCAATGAGAATTGTATTAAAAATAACATTTCTTAAAAAAATAAGCGATCTGCATCAAAACCAGATAGAATAGATATTTATTTATAAGTGTTCCAATTTTCAACCATCAAGCATGTAGCTGTGTGATAAAATCTTAGTTGACCCAAGACAGATTTTCTGTAAAAATCACAACAGAAAAGTAATCCAAAATCGTTAGCAACATTTAAACAATATTTGTTTACATTCTGTTTAATGTAAATATTTATTTAACATGGACAGATAAATCTTGTATATATTTCTTATTTTTTACAGATTAAAGCGCTTATATAAAAAACCATTATTTTAAAATTAGTACATTTTTAGTTTACTTTTTTTGGTAAATTTCTTTTCTTTTTTTTTTGATAAACACAAAAAATTGTTATGTCAAGCTTGCTTTTGTATTGAGTAAAACAGCCTTTTCAAAGGTTGATTTATGACCTATTTAAAACTTGTATATACTATCTCTATCAGGCAAAACTAGAAAAACTTTCCATCAATTCCAGTTAAAAAATATTGACGCCAAAAGAAAAACATACAAATACTTATTACCGAAATTTGGTGAAACCAGTTTGTTGTTTAACCATGCCCCATGCACATTTGTCTGTTCTCGTAAGTTTTAATTTCTTCTTAAATTATGTATTTATGTGGATTATGTATATTATGAGGATTATGTGGATATGCAAATCCATATTATGTGGATTTGCATAATATATACAAGCTAAGTTCAAATTTATATATGTTTCTAATAAGTTTTGTGACAATAATTATTATTTATGTCAATTTGATACTATGTGCTAAGGTTGAGTGTGTATGTATTGAAGGTTCAAGCTTAATTAAATGTAAAGAGACTCGATTTACTGGCAGGGAATTTATAAGTGTTGTCCCATTACTGTTTTTAAAAAATGCACTAAAATTCTCATAAGATGTAACTTTTCTATACTTAGTAACAGAAGTCAAGCCTGAAAAATGAGAAAAAAAAAGAACTTGTTTCAGTGCGCACGAAGTGCAACGGAATGTGTTTTACAGTCAGATAATTTGTTTTTTAAAATATGTGTAGAAAATTATAACAAAAAATTAGTCTTGGCCACAGCTGGCAATGCAAGCTTCTATTTTGGTGTAAACAGTGGTAACCTAACACAGTTGCAACAAAATCCAGAATGGTTGCTAACAATCCATTGTATAAACCAAGGAATCGAACTGGCAGTAAAAGAATTTTTTAAAGAAATATCAGAATTTATAAAATTTGAAGACCTTTATTTATCGAATTATTACCCGCTACAAAAATTGGGTAAGTTAAAAAATGAAGTTGAAGCAGCTGTGAAAGTCTTAGGAATAACTTATTACAGATTATCAAAAATAACCGGAACAAGATTTGTTGACACAGGAGAAAAGCTTTGTTTAATCTACTAAAGACATGACTGGCCTTTCTTTCAGCCCATGAAAATTACACAAGTGATTCAAAAAATGTCAAAACTGTTGGGAAAGTTAAAGATTTATTAAAGTAATTCAAATGCAAACCTTTTCTTGTTCTAGTTGGTTTTTATTTAGGCTGTTTAAAAGTTATTATTCTAGCTTCTAAAATTTTTGAAAAAATGAGTTACTATTACACGAAATTCCAACAATTTTAAAAAAACATCAATTAAAATAGATAATAAAATAAAATCAATTAGAGAAGTAGATAAATTCTATAGCGGCTTCATAATGTGCTATATGATGATAGATAAAAATGATATTGAAGGTTAGTTTCAAAGAGTCGGTAAAAAAGAAAACATGCAAAAAATCGTGTTTACATTAATGTAACAATGGAGATAAACAACTTTGAACAAGAAATACCAATTCAGAAAATCCATGAAATTAAAAAAACAATTCTTTCTAAACTTTATATATTAGTATCAAATAGGTTTCAAGATAATTCTTGTCAATTTAAATTTTCTAGGAATAAGAAATACCTGAATATTGGAACATAAAAACTCTGGAGTGACAGAGATCAAGGTAGTTAGTGACTATTTCAAAAAAAGTGCCTTATGAGAAAAAACTTAGAGTTTTAGTTACTACCAAGTATGAGTGTCATCCGTACGAAGTTTGTGGAAAGTGATTTTTCATAAAATTAAGGACTTTCCAAATATATGTTTATTAGTTTCTTTAATTATGTGCATATCAGGATCAAACTCAGAAGTCAAAAGAACATTTAGCAAATATTTTAGCAGATAAACACCTTTCAATGAACCGCGAAACACGAGCTGATTATGTAGTAATTCTTGGAAACTAAAGTCTATGGTCAAAAATTACGAAGATATTATTGAGCAATCATTTTTAAAATATATGAAAAAGCGTAGAAAATCCGAAGCTGATGACTTGGAGAAAATTAAATTGTCTAAAGTTCAAGAACAAATAGATATACTAACATGCAGCAATACTGAAGACATAGACAGCGAAGATGATATGCTTTGACAATCTTTATAAATATGATATGCCTATGATATGATATGCTTAGACAATCTTTATAAATTTAATACTTTTTTAAATTCTTTTGTGTTGTCATAATTATTTTTAAAAATAAAACACAAATTGTATGTTAAATAAATATCA